CCTAAACCGGGTTCTTGTTAAGGGATTTAATTTAAGTTACCATAATAGGGATCTATAGTATTATATGGTTTCATTATTATGGTAACTTAAATTAAATCCCTTAACAAGAACCAAGTAAACCCTATAGCTGGACCCCAAAAGTCTCAAACCCCAAACCCTATACCACTATCCTGAAGCAAACCTACATCCCAAAACCCTGATTAGCTAGCCCTACTGTAGGCCCCTAAACCCTAAACCCTGAACCCTTAACCCTAAACCCTAACGAACACCAGTCCTACAGCGCCACCTCTGTTCTCAGAACGGCGCCGTGTGGCTTTGGATCTGGTCCAGGCGTGCCCTACTGAAAGGATCAGGGTTTACCCTAAGGCTCATGGACCCCATAGTGAAAGCCCGAACCCTTAGCCCCCAAACCCCAAACCTTCCCCTAGAAAGCCCATAACAGCAATAAGAGCCTTAGGGTAGGGTTTGGGGATAAGGGGACGTAGCAACTGGCATTCGATGGGTTCTCTTTTGTTTGGCCTTTCTGTGGTTTTCGGGTTTACTTCGTGGTTAAGGCCACTCAGGACGTGGGTGGGGTTATGGTTCGTGTTTGAAAGGTCAGGGGACTCACTGAGAGTGCAACTAGGATAAGCATACTATACTTTACTCCTGAAACTACTGTATGCTTTATAGAACGGCGCCATACTTGCTAAGCGCCCCGATCCTTCAAGTATTCCTGGCTGAAGGAAAAGCCCGGCTTTTGCAGGGTTGGGACGATCACTAAATGGCTCGAGAACCTGGACTAACATGTAAGTACCCATAGGCCCCATAGTAGTTCCTTTTTGGGATGACCTTATAGGATTCTATATATGAACCCCAAAAAGGAACTACTTTAGGGCCTATGGGTATGTCAACTTCCGGACGTGGCCCGATGTTGGATTCGATAGACCCCAAGCTCTCCAGGACTGAGCAGCATGCTTGGCACTTGTACGACAGCCTGCGTTTTGGGCTTGTGGTCTTAAGTTCGAGCTAGGGTTTAGGGTTTAGGGATTAGGTGGTTAAGTAAGGGTTTTGGGTTTAGGGGTTTAGGGTTCAGGGTTGACATCGGGGCCCAAGACACAACTTAACCCCACAGAACTCGACGGCAGGTGGCCGAAGACAGTCCAGGCCGCCATTCTCACCTGCACCCGGGACGTCAGGGCCAGAGGTAGGCGAGTGATGCGAATGTATGTGTTGAGCTTCAGGCATAGCTTCGATGCAGCACTGGATGGAGGACAAACGCATCTGATTTGGGCCCACAAACTTCTGCATGCAGGTACTCTCGGTTCTCAGCCAGTCTTCCCGAAACCCTACACTCCTTGAACACAAAACATCGGGTATTGGAAACTCTTCCGCTTCGGGTCCCTACTCCAACTCGAGAAATATTCCTCAGTGGAGCCTTTGGGCTTGGAGCATTAGGCCCCATGTGGGAGTTTGCGAAAATAACGGGTACCTTCTTTTGGGGGTCCTTATAACACGGATCCTACTGTTTAGGGTACTGTATTAGGGCCCCCCTTTTTCGGAAACCCCCATGTAAACCCTAAACACAAACTCCTGGTTGCGTCGCACTCAAATCCGACGGCGAACCGACAGAGCTCGCCTGGCTGGACGGAGTTGCGAGAGCGTAATGCCGAAGGTTCCCTCAACTTGGTAGTAGAGTAGGGTTTAGGGTTACGGGTTTAAGGTTTCAGGGTTTAAGGTTTCAGGTTTAGGGTTCAGGGTTTCGGATTTAAGGTTTCAGGGTTTAGGGTTTGAGGTTTCAGGTTTAGGGTTTAGGGTTTCGGAGTAGAGTAGGTAACCTTTATAAACTTTAACCATTTTGGGTACTATAAGCCTATATAATCCCAGAGGTTAACCTTTTAGTTCCCCATGATACCGGACACCCCCGAACCCTAAATCCTGGGGTTTAGGGTTTAGGGTTTAGGGTTTAGGATTTGCATTGGCTTCTATCTTACCTTCCCGAACCCAGTTGAATGTGACTGATTTCAGTGCTCCTGGAAGTGTTGTCTCCAACTAATCAACTTTATTTAATGTGGACTTCGGTTCCGACTGATGCTCGCCTTTTAGCAGGTCTACTTGTAGTAGTGATCTTGTCTTGCTTGGTGACGGTCTTTTCGGGTTATCCGGCCTACAGACACATGCCTTGCCTGGACTTGTCCAGGTTGTGAGCTCCGATATTTTTGAGAGTAATATATGAGCCGTAATAATTACCTATACTATTTTGGGGGCTCCTTATTATAACTATAGTAGATAATAACCCAAAACCCTATTCTAATTATTAAGAGCCCTCTCTTACACCCTTATATTAAGAGCCCTCTCTTACACCCTTATAGAAACCTCTCCAGAAACCCATGTAAAAGAACCGTTGGAAAGGAACCTTACTCTAATTCTGAAGGCCCCTACATGATTTGGATTTCAATATCGCCTGCTCATGAGGTCACCGGCGGCATTCTTCGCGAACAACCTGCGCGGAGGCGGTGTTTGTTGGTGCGGGCTCCTTGACCCAGGGGTCTAACCCTAAGGGCCCATGTACCCAAATAGTATATGAATACTCTTTGGTGTTGAAGTAATCACACTAGTCCTTCTTCTGGCATTCTGAAGCCAAGGTATGTGCTAAGTCGGCACATGGACCCTTGGGGTAATGTAGACTTGTGAAGACTGAAGAGCTTAGGCCGCTGATCCAGAGGGTTGAGAGTTTAGGTTAGGGCTTTTATGGTTTAGGGTTTAGGGTTTAGGGAGGGTTGAGAGTTTAGGGTTACAGGGAGTATAGGGTCTAGGGGCCAATGGGGTTTAGTATGGTTTAGTAGGGTTCATCTCTAAAGGGGATATAGGGTTTAGCCGGTTTAGCATGAACCCTGAACCCTAAACCCTAAACCCTAAACCCTGAACCCTAAACAGCAAACCTCACCGGCCTCATACGAACGAAAGCGGGTGACAGCAGCAACTTGGAAGCTTCAAAGGTGCAGGTACGCTATGCACCGAAGCTCTTGTAATACTGCTAACAACTAAATATAACAACTTACTACTATACTTATGCCTATACATACCTACATACCTACATACATACATACATACATACATACATACATACATACACACACACTCACTTACTTGATATATGTTGCACACTCCCAGTCCCAGACATTCTGCTCTGCACACCGCTGCGATGAAGGAGCCATGACTTTGCCAATTCCTAGCCGGAGCGAGTCGGGCCGATCACTTCAGGAGTTCGTCACTGGAGAGGCGTCCCCCTAATTAGGGTTTAGGGTTTAGGGTTCAGGGTTTGGGTTTTAGGGTTTGGAGAGGCGTCTTGTTGGGGGCACGTGCCAGCACCCTCCCTGTACCCTCAAGTAGGGCATATGGCATATGGTCGTGTAGGTATTTCAGGTCTAATGGAGGGTGGTGACGGATAGTGGGTAGATGGAGGGTTTTGTTACAAGAGGTATGGTTTACATTGCGGGTTTGGTGGGTTACGACTCAAACTCCGACCCACGAGTGAGAAAGAAACCCTACCTCGAGTGAGGCATGTGTGTCTTCATTTCCGGTGAAGCAAATTTTATCTCGCAGCGTGTCGCGTGCAAATCCGAACCTTAAACCCTCAACTTGTGTTGTCTCCATGGCCTGTAGGGTTGGCCTTTGTTCGGAACAGTTCTCTGCAGAACTTCCACGAAGGCGTCAGGGTTTAGGTCACAAAAAGGGTCACACCTAAACACAGAGTCTGCCGAGTGCTTCGCTGAAAAGTTGAAAACTCTAAAGCCCGAAGGCGGGCGGAATTAAACGAGCCAATATCCTGCATGACCCGATAGACTCCTGCAGCCGGGAGAACCTATGAATGGTTTGGTGTCTGGGAGCCCTACAACGAGAAGCAAAGCTCCCTTAAACCCTGAAGCCCTCAAACCACCAAGCCTTGACCAAACCTCTTATACCCAAAGCCCCTAAAGCCTCAGCCCCCACACGCTTCTCACCCTTTGGAGAACTCTCTGCCGAACCCTGTAAGAACTTCACCCGCACCCTGTGCGGCACTCCTTGTAGGACCTCCTGAATCCCCGACTAGCTGTCAGATGGCGCCGCTTCGAAGTGCTGACGAGATGGCTTTGATCGCCGCAGTCTTGCGGCTAGGCCATCGAAGCTTGACAAGCCTTGGTACATATTGGTAGTTTAGGGCATCTAGGGTTTAGGAATGCAGGAACGTGCTATGAATTTCCAGACAGGGTCCGTTTTAGGGCTGACTACTTTAGGTCTCGTGCAAGGTTTGTCGAGGTTTCAGTCTCGGGCATCGAGCAATGGATGAAGGCTTTTTCGAAGCTGCCATGTGTGTGTGTGTGTGTGTGTGCGTGTGTGTGTGTGTGTGTTGCTATTTCCTGACGTCTCCACCTTAAGGCCCGCTACCTTGGAGACGTTGCACTAGACGTCGAGTCGGTATTCACCTATAGTCTCCATTGTAGTTCCTCTTTGGGGATGCCTTATAAAATC